AAATTCTGGTGTTCCCACGGTATCAGAGCGCTGTGAATGCTTTTATTTTCTTTTTGCTACAGATGGAAACATTGCCACGACATCCCTCTAGCTCCAACCGAACCTTATGAACAAATGATCTGGCAACATGTAAAAAGTTACTGATTTTTAAATCACTATGTTTTGCAGCTAAAGCAACAATGACTGTATGTCTTTTCATTTCTTGGGTTAATATCTTCCTCTGAATGGGTTATCTGAAATAAAAAAAATAATATAATAAATGATTTGAATGTGTAGTGAACTTAAAACAATATGTCCTCAAATAGCACTCGCATCCTGTATATATTTAAAATTGAACATTGAAGTCTACACTCAGAGGTGACTGTTTCATGCTAAACACAATCATCAGGGCACATACGTTGTGTTTTTTTCGACTATTTATATATACGGGTCAGTGATGCATTGTAGATAGTCTATTGTATTGTGGGTAATCTATTCTAACGGTTATTTTGGAGGGTGTGGTTTGTTAATTTGTTTATTATCTACTATATTTATTTGGATTAATTTATTTTATTTGTTTTTGCTTATTTATTTTTATTTTATTTGTTTTTCTTTTTTATTTTCGGCTTTCGTTTTTTTTTCGTGTTTGCATTTTGAGATGACTTCTGATCGTTTATTTTGTAGTTTGTTTTGATCTGGGAAGATAATTATAAATGTTTTTCCTCCAAGCAGAGTTTTTCCTTCCAAGCATGTGGCCTGAGAATTGCGTTTAGCATGAAACAGACTGTCGCCTCTAAGTGTTGACTTCAATGTTCACTTTTATATTTACACATGTTCAATCTCTGATATTGAGCACTTTATCCCATAAATATAGCATACCTTAAAACTATATTTCTTCATATATAGCATACCTTCAAACTATATTTCTTCATATATAGCATACCTTCAAACTATATTTCTTCATATATTTCTTCATAATAATATATATTTCTTCATATATATATATATATATATATATATAGGATAACAAACAATCTATATTTCTAATTAAAATTCAAAATTATTGTAGTGTTAAAGGACAAAAATATTTAGTATAACATTCAAAAATTAAGCAACAAAGCATTTCTTTTCTTTTTATGTGCCGTGTCCTTTCAGGACGTAAGCGATCATGGCTCTCCACTTCACCCCTTCCCTTGTAGCTCTCAATAAGTTTCATCCCTCTGCCACCTCCCCCAGACAACGTTCTGTCATCCACTTGCTCAAGCCCACTAGGCATGTCATGCATTGCTTTCCCTTGTCTCTCTTTCTCTCTATTCGACTTATGAGTATCAGATTCCCCGGGCCCTCTTTTCTTATTACTTGTCCCAGAAACTTCAGCTGCCTCTTCCTGGTGTTAAGTATAAGCCTTCTCTTTGTTTGCATCCTCTCCAAGGCCTCATCGTTGCTCACACACTCGGTCCAGGATATCCTTAGCATCCTTCTGTAGAACCACATCTACGTCCCCTCGAGTCTCTTTTTCATCTTTGAGGAGATCGTCCAACATTCGTTGCCGTAAAGGAGGACAGATGTCACTTAACAGCTTAGTATTCTTTTCTTTGTTACCAAAGATATCCTCCTGTCTTGCAATAATCTGTCCAATTTTGGAATGCGTCCTTGGCCATCCCAATACGTCTACGGATCTCAGTGTCGCACTTACCATTATCTGTCAGAATACTTCCCAGATATTTAAACTTCCGCACCAGCTTGATTTTAGTGTCCACAGCCTGTAAATAGCATCTTTTTACTGATGACCATACATTCTGTCTTGTAGTTTATACTTAGTCCTTTCTTCTCGATCTCCTTTGCTACCTTCTGTAGGAGGGTTTGTAATTTATTTTCCGTGTCTGCTATTAGTACTGTGTCATCTGCGTAAAAAAACATTTAAGATGACATAAAATCTTTATTTCTCATAACAGAATAAAAAAAAGACACCCCCATATATAATTAAATCCTTTCAAAATTGCAGTAACCATCTGGCGCTGTCGGAGTTAGCTCCTCCTTTAGTTCCTTAACCCTTCACCAGGAGTCTCTCTCCCTTGGCTATAAATACTGTCTGACCCTTCGCCTCGATCTTTTTTTTTCCTCAGGCTTCAGCCTTACCACCTCGCAGATGTGAGCTCTCACAGATACAGCGTTTCCCAAATGCTGGGAACACGCTAAGAACACTACACGTACGTACGAACACTCACCACAACACAGCACACACATAATATTCACCACACGCACTCAATGTAACTGTCCATGTACTTGTAACTTGTACTTATTGTTAATACATATATTTGTTTACATATATTTATCGGTCTTGTTTGTTTTCTTTGTTTTCTTTCGACTTAATTAAAGTCCAACTTTCTCATGTCGTTGGACCGGCTAGCAGGAATTCTTAACTCACGTGTATTCTTCTACATACTCATTACCGCCACGGTCCGCTACAGCACCAAGAGATTATCAAAAACATCGCCATTTACAGTTTCGTCACACGGGC